TAAAAAATTTATATACAAATTCAAAACTAAAAGTTTCATTGATCTCTAAATCAACATCCCATTGCATAGTTGTGGTTGGTCAATAAATTAATTACATAAATGTTCAAATATTCGAAGTTTAAATATGGAAAGCTGACTATAAATTAAAAGGAGTATTACTTATGAAAGGCAATAATAATAGATTACAAAGAATAATCCTATCACATGACTTATATTGATAAAAAATTAAACATGAATGCTGACAACTTTAAATTTTATATTAAAACCTTTTGGTAAATATGAAAAAAAATATTGTTATTTAATGTAAATTAAGTTAAAATCCTAACCGTAAAAGATTATAAAAGACCATGTAATTTAAAAAGATAAGTAATTAAATTGAATTTAAAAGGAAATAAATGTAATTAATTGTTTGAAATACTTTTAATTTAAATCAAATAAAAAGAATTAAATACAAGATACATGAAAATTTTTCATCTAATATATTTTTTTATCAAAATTTAAGAGCATAAAATATATGTATAATAATTACAAATTTTCTTATAAATATTACATTAATTGGTGTTTGCAGTCACTATTAAATATTTTCTTAATTTATTTTTATTTATAAGAAGAGAGAAAATATTCCCTATTATTAAATAGTAATGAACTAGTTAACAACTAAACTCAAAAAGTCATCAAACATCTATATAACTCTATATAAAAAGTGTATTATTATTATTATTATTATTATTATTTAGGCTTTTCTTGTTGTGGGATAGTTTTAGGCAAAACGTTAACAGATGTTGGATTCTTAGGTCCTAGATCTTGTTTTTATATAGCAGTAACCCCAAAGATCCTACAAGTGATAAGAGTATTTATTTTTATTGAGTTTTTCATTTGGGTTGTGGGTTTGTATAGGTCTTTGACATGTATTATAGGTGTTTGGGCTCCAATTTTTGGTAAATTCAAACTTTAAAGCTAGTTTTCCATTTAAAAGTATTTAAATTAGTTTAAATATTTGAATGGACTGAAATTTGGTTTTCATGGATGATATTAAGGGTCATGTGACAAGTCAATAAAAAAAAATGTTAAAAGACTTAGGAGAAAGTAAGGAATAGGATGTGTGAAAAAAAGGAGATTAAGAACATAAGAAGAAAAAAGGTAGCTAGAGAAAGAATGAAATCTTGCATGTTGAGACCATCTATAACCATATGAAAGCTTGATTTGGATTCAATTATTGAAATTATTATGTTTATTTTTACTTTTTTAGAAAATAGGAAAAATGAGAAAGATCTGGAATGTTTATGTTGTTTCCAATGATTCATTTGTTTGCCTTTTTTGTTTCTTTTATTGTTACTTTTTTTTTTGGGTTTTAAAATTCGATTATGGTTGCAATTGTTTGGGTTATAAACATCACATGCATAAATTCTTTATTTGGTTCATACTTTTGTTTCTTAGGTACTTTTGCATTGCTTTTTCTATTTTATCTATAATTGAATTCAAATTTGTTTCATTATAGTCTCATTTCATCTCTACTTTGTACAATACAAGAGAATACAAATTATATTTTTCAAAGTTTTCACCTAAACTAATAATCAGTTTTTTTATTATCTCTTCAAAGATTTTGTGCTACAAAAAAAAAAAAAAAGAATCCGGGCAAAGCAGGGCTCCTACCCTAGTTTCATTAATAAACTTGCCAAGTCGAACCATCCATTATGCTTACAACCTTAAATTGCGTCGAAATCAAGTTTTCTATGCCCATGCCCAATCTAACTTGTGATAATGATCTATTAAAAAATAGAGAAAGTTTATCAATTTATCCGAAAGTCTTCAAAATGAATTGTGAGAAATTATATATATAGGCGTGTGTGTCAAAAATAAATAATGGTTACATAACATGAACATTTAATAGGCATAATGGTCAAATTATCAATTACTATATTATAACGGTTTTGAGTACCGTTAGAAGAAAAAAATTTAAAACATTTCAAAAATAGGAGAAGTCGTCACCAATCTTTTTTGGTTTGGTGTGATTGGTCACCTAAAAAGTTTATTAAAAATACAATTTCAATTTACAAAAATAGGGTTGGATTCGGGAGTTTGATCACGCGTAGCGAAAGGATTAACAATTAATAATGTGTTACCTTTGGTTTTGGACAAAAATAGTTTTAATTTGAAATTTAATAATAATTTTCTTCATTTTCATTAAAAAAAAGTCAATTTTATTAAAAATCTTTATTTAAAAATATTGTAAAACTCTTCAGATTAAAAATTATCCTAAAAATCTTCAACATTTAGGTAAAATTTAAGGATAATTCTTTTCACCTAAGATTCGCTATGACATTCCTTTTAAAATATAAATAATATTTTTTTATAAATGATAGTTTTTGATGACTCTCCAATATTTAAGCAAAATACCAAGAATTATTTTCCTCATAATATTATTTTGGTTTTATTTCCAAATCCATATTTTTTAATACCATTTTTCATAAACATTTTTATGCAAAGAAAATGATGGTGTTGCAATTAACAAAGAATCAACAATGATAATTAAAAGACATAAACATGTAAAAATGAATGCAAACAACAATATAAAGGTAAATAAATGTAAATGGATGTTATGCATGATGATAAGATGTGATTTCAGGATCAGGTCTTTAAACATAAAGAGACCACCCGGACTCCCTAACTTCTAGACAGAATTTAAGTGTGATTATTTATATATAAGATCCAACTTTTATTTCCATTTTTTTATTTAATCTTGTTATTATTATTATTGGGTTAAAGAATTATATGAAAAAAAATTTAATAAAATTTCTTAGATGTCTTATCTTTTAGGTGGTATTCAAAAATAGATTATTTTATAGGAGACTTTCATACAAATCCCTTTTTTTCTTCTTTCTTTTATTTTTTTGTTTTATGAAAATAGGGATTCTTAGTAACTCAAATTTTCTTAATCATCCCCAACATCTAGGTAAACTTTTGAAATAAATTCAGTTTTTTGATTTTCCTTTTTCTTTTAAAAATTTTATTTTTAATGCAACATGAGACAAAATAAATTATGCAAATACGAACTAACATGTAACAACCAGTTGATTCACCTTATTCATATTATGTTAATTATTTTTTATTTCTCTTGTTTAAAATAAAATAAAATTTGATGAAATTTTTGTATTTTAAAAGCAAATTTTTATTTTTTAATTAATTTTTAATTTTTTAGTTCTCCAACATTTATGTGAAATAAAATTTTCAAAACATAATTTTAAATTCCTTCTAACATTTAAGCAGGGTTTTTAAAATTTTATTATTAATATTATTAATTTATTATTTTTAACCCCTAATCAAACCTATACAATAGCATTATGCCAAAAAAAAAAAAAGACCACTCCTAAGTTAAACGTCCCCACATACTTCTTTTATTTTATCTAAAACTAAAGAAACATGAAAAAAAAAAGGCTAAAAGCCATGAAAGGTTAAAGCTTTGGGCTTCAAGATGCGACACACAAAAAAATCGAATAAAGGGCATGGAAACGATAAAGCTTTGGACCTTTGTGAACATACCTCACGTGAAAACAACAAGCATGGATGAAGAAATACAAACTTTAAACATTTTTCCTCTTTACAGACCATTTATCACTTTCTGTTTTTATAAACCAAACTTCTTGCTAACCAAAGTCTCCCACATTTTTTTTAATGTAAAGGACAAGAAAATACAAGCCCAAATGCTTTACCACATTTCCACAATAGCAAAGAACAAAAGAAAATTTAATCTTTTTGTTTTACATAGGTCTTTTCTTCTTTGAGCATTTAAGTTGCTTTTGGTTTTCAAAGAGAAAGAGTAGCCTCGTTCATCATGTATACAAAAAAACATAAACAAAGAGTGGATTTTAAACACTTACGAATGGCAAACCAATCAAAATCGAAACCTTTCTCTTTTAAAAGAATCGAGACTTTTTTTTTAATTTTTGTTCTTTTATTT